GAATTAAGAATATGGAAGAAATAGTTTTCCCCGCGATTAGCGAAAGAACTCAAGCTCTTCTGAATGCACAGAAGCAGAGTTTTGACAAGAAGCATCACATCATTGATATACCTGTCGACAGTCAAGTGATGGTCAAACTACAGCAACACGGTAAATTAGATCCTATCTATGAAGGACCTTATGCCGTCACACGCAAGACCAGAGGTGGCTCTTACTCTCTTCAAGACGAAAAGGGTGAAACGCTACCAAGGGACTATCCACCTTCTGCATTGAAATTAATTTCACAAGATGAAATTATACCCAAAGATGAACTGTATGAAGTCGATAGTATTTTAGCTCACAGGGAAAAGGGCCCTGGTAGATATGAATATAAAGTCAGATGGAAAGGTTATGAACCTAAAGATGACACATGGGAACCAGCTTCTAGTTTTACGCAAAGAAGTATAATTACAGAATATTGGAAACGTTCAGGCAATGACGAACTTAATACCAAAGAACCGCCAGCTAAAGTAGCTACTAAGAGAAACACTAGCATGAACAACAATGATAACCTTAAAGGCAATAAGCAACGCACTAACCCCACAAAAAGAAAAATTGTTGCACAAGATCTACCTACACGAAAATCACAACGTATATCCAAACGCAACAAAAACTAAATTCAACTACAGGTGCAATTAAAAGATAGTTCGCAACCTGGAAGGGGGTGATGTGGTGAATGTCACCACTTAGTCTTAGATACGGTTGCTCTCAGTCTATCTTGCCTAATAATAATACCGAGACAAATGGTCCAGAATAAAAATAAAATAGTATTCCCGAGACAAGCACGTCTGAGATAGCAACGGTTAGTCAACTACCCACGCTAAGTGAAGTCATGATCCGTTATTAGACTAGCACCAGGACAGGGTACCTGAATTAGCAGGTTTCACTTCCTTAGCATTGATTATCACATTTGGCACGTCAATAACATTGGTGCCTGACATTGAACATGGTGATGGACTATGACCTAGATCAATCCAGAAATACCCGAATTACTCACTCAATAACCGATTGGTTCGTACTAGACCGAGTACCCAGATCACGGCATTTAAACATGATATCAAGAAGTGTATATAAAGGGTAGAAAATAGAACCCAAGTAGCTTTAGTTGATTTCTCTACAACTACCTTTCTTATAAAGAACCTATACACATTCTCACAGACTCATTCTGTTACCTTTTTCTTACCTTTCTTCATTTACTTCTATTTTCCCTACCCATATATCTCACTACGCAAGGCGAAACTTTACGCCAACTTCAAGGAGTGTGAATTCGTCAAACGAGAGCTTGAGTTCGTTGGTTTCCGTGTGAGTGCTGGCGGCATTCTCCCAGCTGAATCAAAAATCAAAGCCATTGTGATGTAGGCAAAGTAGAACAGGTAACAAAAAGAATACGTGAGGCTGGTCTTTACTGGAAAATAAAAGTAAAGAATTGATTACTCTATCCGCTTATGATCTATGTACGTCTTTTATAAATTTGACGATGTTTCAGAGGACGGAGTGATTAGAAGCAATCCACTCTGACGATGTCCATGTTTAATTAGGAACGGAGGTTCCTGAGATAAATTATTATTCAGACACTTCTTGGTAAGAGACACTGCCAATGATATTGTGCAGGTGAAACCGCAGTAGCGCTCTTTTCTTTAAATACAAATCAGACTAATGTCTGAATTGTAAATGATGGATTCAGGACGTTCTTGATGACCAACCGTCTCAATGATTGGACACAGCTGCGGGTATAGACCGTTTTCACAAAGACGAGTTCACCCGACAGGTGATGGTTTATCACAGCCATTCAAGACTGGCCACAACCCACTAATGTCCAGGAGGTGCGGCAGTTTATCGGACTCGGTTCGCATTACCGACGATTTATTCGAGACTTTTCGACGATCGCAGCCCCGTTGACCGACCTGACGAAAGGCACTGGAGCGAAAAAGAGGGCCATTGTTTGGACAACCAAATGCCAGACCGCTTTTCAAGAAATCATGTCCCGCATGGTTCAAGCCCCAATTCTCCAGCCACCCAACCCAGCCTTACATTATGTCATCGAAACGGATGCCTCAGACTATGGAGTGGGCGCATCCTCCTTCAAGAAAGTCTGCAGGATGGTCAACTGCACCCCCTCGCCTTCGAATCCAAGAAGCTATCTGCGGCAGAACGCAACTACCCGGCACAAGAAAGAGAATTACTTGGCATCCTACACGCCCTTCGTTCCTGGCGTTGTTTCATCGAGGGTCGGCCCTACACGGTATACACAGACCACCACCCGCTTAAGTATTTCCGATCGCAAGTGAAGCCCACTCCCCGGTTGACTCGCTGGATTGCCGAGATCGAGTTATATGACCCTAACACTCAATACAAGCCCGGGAAAGACAATCATGTACCCGATTTACTTTCTCGACGCGAATCGCCGTCTCACGCCGCTGACCCAGCAGACACAGAACCCGAGTATCTTTATGCCGTCCGCCTTTCCGTCCAAGAATCTGATTGGCCAAAATTTTATGTCCGTGCCGAATCAGATTGGCCTCCTCTATTCGCGGATCTGATGCAACAAACACAAAGACAAGTTTGTGGTCCATGGCCAGTAAGTATACCGTCTAGTAAAGTCTGGTAACGAAACCCGCGAGGTCCGCTATGCCCTCTTTGCACGCCGCGCTGATCTAGTTCAGGAGTTTCATAACGGATATGGTCATGCCGGTTCGTCCACGGTCTATGACCTCATGAAGAAACGCTGGTGGTGGCCCGATATGAGAAATGATATCCAGACTTGGCTATCCCGCTGCCCACAATGCCAACTCGCATCCAAGGCCGACCGAAAAGTACATCATTCCCCCATGCACTTGCCTGCGGTGCCAGCTCCATTTACACGATGGCATATGGATTTCATCGGTGAACTACCCGTGACACTGTAGGGTGTGTAACCCGACACCAAGGCACCCCTATATTTTCTTTACTTTCCTCTCTGCAAATTCTACTTTCCTCTTTGCACTTTTTACTTTCCTCTTTGCAAATCCTACTTTCCTTTTTGCATTTCTTACTTTCCTCTTTGCAAATCCTACTTTCCTTTTTGCATTTCTTACTTTCCTTCTTGCAAATTCTAACTTCCTCTTTGCAAGACCTACTTTCCCCACATATCTTATATCTCATATCATGTTTTTATTTCCAATCAATTAGTATAAATAGGCTTGAGTTCTCGGCCAAACGAATAAATTCAGACTTTACTTTGACTTTACTTTCAGACTACCTTTTCATACTCTCTGACAACTTTTGACGCTAAAAGCGCATTCAGTAATTCGTCTCCGTTGGTTCCCATTGCAAGACACCACCGAAAACACCAAGTTGCAACATTCCGTTTCGACATTGCGAAACACTTTTCTTTCAAATTTCATTTCTTTGATTTTTCTTCTCCGCCACCGGACACCTCTTTGAACTACCTTTTGTTCCCTTTCTCTTTTTTTGTATAACAAAGCTCATATATAGAGAAACGTTTCAAATAGTGTTAAAATTATAATTACACAATATCCTATATTGTTAAATAATTTTATGTTTAGGGTGAATAAAATATCTGCGTAAGTTGCAAAAAAACTTACGGCAGTGCTGTTTCCAAAGATAAGTTCTTTGGTTTTTTTGTTACTTTTTAAACAAAAAGTAATGTGAAAGAAATATTGACTACCAATCGTTAAAATTTTAATTTTATAAGTTGCAACAGGAAATATTTCAAATGTGAATTAAGAAATATACTGTTATTTCTAAAATAACCATATTTCTAAAATAATTATTATTTACAAAATAATGATCATTTTCTTTTTATATGTTATTTGCAAATTGTATATTTGCTGAAAGAATCTTGATTAACATCAATAATAGAATTTCATTCTATTTATTATTTAACGTTGCTCAAATGGCAATGTGAACGCACAAACGGTATTCTTAAACGGATGCTACGCAAGTACGTTAACGGCGCCATATATCGATGGAATGAGTTCCTACCCACGGCCGTTTACGCTTGCATGGTCCGCAAGCATCGTACCACGGGATACTCGCCATTCTTCCTGACGTACGGTCAAGACCCAGTCCTTCCAGGAGATCCATTACCACCGATAATCACGTCCGAATCTTTACCGACCAATCAGGAAATCACAGAGCATCGGGTGGACGGTACTCTGAAAGAATTACGTACGGCTCGGCAAGGCTTTAGACCGAACAGACGTCGATGGCACGAAGGACAAAGCGCGCTGGGACCTTATCATGAAAAGACAAGTTTTTTCCGTTGGTGACTTCGTCCTCATGCGCCACGAAAATAGATACGGCCTGGAATACACCTGGAAAGGCCCTTACAAGGTGACTGCCACAAATCCAGAGACCGACATCTACAAGCTTGAATCTACAGAAGGCAAACCGTATGCCTCCTGGGTTCACACTGACCGCCTCCGCCCCGTCCATGTCGAAGATCCTAGTAAAATCTCAAGCACCTGGTACGACCCGACCGTCGCCCGCAATGAATGGCGTACGACCATGGATACACTTAATGCACTTTTCTCGTCGTTGCTCGAGGACGAGCAATATTCTGGAGAGGGGGTATTGTCGGGAGATAAACTCCCTGCCCCTTTTGTTGCCAAATGACAAAACCACATGCATATCAAGTACGCATCGCGCCCAACCCGCGTGTGTCACTTGAGAAGTTATCCCTGGATCGCGTGTACCCTGCGTCTCTTCCTCATTGTCTACTTTGTTACCTCTCACTTCGTTCTCGTGTGCGCAACATGTCTTTGACATATATCGGTTGCTATCACGACCTGTCGTTGGTTGTCCACCATAAATCATTTCATATAAATAGCCACTCCAACGAGAAAATAAAAGGATTATCTACCCTCTACTCTTTTGATTCGATACCCACCTGGCCTTGTAGCTTACAGCCAAAAGGGTATCCGACACCGGTTAACATGGAAAAGAACTGCCAAGTCGCATGCCCGCTCGCAGAATCGAACTACGGACCTTCGGTTTACAAGACCGACGCTCTGCCAACTGAGCCAAGCGGGCGCGATGTTCGCTCACAAACAAAATATACCTTGGCAGGCGCTATGCACGAACCCATGCACTAGCCAAGCTACTGAGAAACGTTTCGAATAGTATTAAAATTATAATTACACAGTATCCTATATTGTTAAATAATTTTATGTTTAGGGTGAATAAAATATCTGCGTAAGTTGCAAAAAAACTTACGGCAGTGCTGTTTCCAAAGATAAGTTCTTTGGTTTTTTGGTTACTTTTTAAACAAAAAGTAATGTGAAAGAAATATTGACTAGCAATCGTTAATCCTGTTGGCGTAAATCTCATTTGGGTTTGATCGTTTCACGACATGTTGTAAGGTGCAAAGTCCTATCAGGCACCTTACCACGAGTTCCATCAAATTTCCTTTTTTGTCTATATATTGACTTTCCTTTGTTTACCCTCCCCTTTTCTTCTTGTAACCACCTATCTTCCCCACTTCACTCGGTAAAAGCTATTGTTTACCTTCCCCTCTCCATTCGTAAACAGCTTTACCTTCCCCTCTTCTATTTCGTAACAACCTTACCCTCCCCTTTACTTTCATTTTTACATCAACCTCAAATCCATTTTGTTCAATTCCATATAGTTAGAAACAGTATAAATACCCAAATACTTTTTGTCTCAAATAAATTAGTCAACTGCAGATTTACAAATACAAAGCTACCTTTAAAGCTTATTTTATCATTTGCCTCCGTTGGAATCGCCTACTCCATCGACAACACAAGCCGCCACCTTATATTTTTTCTACACACACACAAGAGACGTAACATTCCTCTTGCATATTATCTCAATTGTATAATCAAGAAACGCATATTCCTCTTTGATTCCCTTACTACCTTTATTTCTTTTCTTTTTTCTATTCTCATACACGTTAAACACATACCTTGTGGTTTAACTGGTGCTCACTACAAACCTTTTCTACATCTTTCTATTCCCTTCTCAAACTTACCTTACACCCTTACAATGTCCCATTTAGCTTTTGTTCAAGAAGCCTTCCATATTCATCTTCTCACCGAACGCATAATCGTGCCATTACCTTTTCCTGTCCTTTCCGGTTGCCTTCATTACATACCTTCCTTTTCCACATCACATGCGTCCATTGTCCCATTTCATCTTCACCGAATCCAAACAGTATAAATAACCCCGAGGTCATCATGAATAAAAGATCATCTTATCTACCCTCATCTTTACCTTGATTCTCTTTATCATCCTGGCCTTGTGCGATACAGCCAAAAGGATATCCGACAATCCGCACAGTATCAGATACCTTCAATTTCGTTTTCCCCCACCGGGAATTGAACCCGGGCCGTCGGTGTGAGAGACCGAAATCCTAGCCACTAGACCATAGAGGAAAGACGTTATCGTGACACTGACCGTGGTGGTATTGTCGGCCTCACTAACTGCACGCAAGAAGTTGACTTTACACTCTTTTTATTCGACCAACATCACCAGACGTTTGAGTGATGTCATGACAGGTCGCCTCATTTCTTTCGAAATGATTTTTCCCTTTTCGTGTGCCGCCAAATTTGATTGGCCACACCCTTTTCCTCACCCTTACCGTCCCCACACAACCAGCTTCCGTTTCGCTTGTCTATGTATGAAACCCCGTCACCATTTTTCCTATTTATATTGTACTGTCACTCTATTTCTTTTATTTCTTTTCCTTACGTCTTTCCTCCATTTGAACCATGTTTTCCTTGCACCTGCCATCTCTCCATTTCCAACATTTCCCGACGTGATGAGCACGCGCTGTGCCAAAGTATGTTTACACAAACTATAGTTTGTGCCTCCATTCATTTTCTATTTTTCTTATTTATACTTCAGCTGCACAGCGAAGAAAAGACATCGAACTTTTGGACTTTCTTTCCGTTTCTGATCTCAACTCGAGGAGTGCGAGCGTTTATTTTTCTTGAACGTATTTGCCAGTCAGCCTTATCCGAAGCCTGACTGTGAGAAGTTGTTTTGACGAGCAAGACCACTACACACCTAAGCCAGCGTAACCTTCTGGTAACACTGTGCATCATCGTCTATTTCCTCGTTATCTCATGCTTGGTAGTAAGACGTAAGGTCCCAACGACTATTCCACACACGAAACCAAACCCTGCACGTGTCAATCGTGACGAATCTATAATCAATCCTCCGGCCAAGCTAGCACGTGACCGCCCTACCTCCCGTACCTTGACTACCTTGATTTCTCGTAACTGACGTCAGACCGTTGTCCTCTCACTTTTCCTTTTTCGGTACTATTCTTGATACTTACCTTTTACGAGTTTTATACGGAGTTTTAAAGGAGTATTGTTTTCACTCGTGTGTCCGTCTGTCTGTCTATCTGTCGAGCAATGTTAAATAAATAAATAGGGTTAGGAGGTATTATAGGTGACGAAATAAAATTGGGAAAAATTAACAATTCTTTTAACACTATTTGAAACGTTTCTCGTCTGTCTGTCTGTCTGTCGTCCGTTTTATTCTTGATGCGATTGGCTGGGAGTATCTTTCTCCGAGACCAACTCGTGATGTGATTGGTCCGGACTTTTTTTCGTGGACAAAATTTTACGTGATTGGTCGGAAATAATTTCCTCCGAGAAAATACAAAAAGGCAACTTCTGCATGTAGACACGCTCTGATTTGTAGAATCAGAAAACCTGGTTCTCGGCTCATAATTCCTCCGAAATGGACATCCTTTGACCATATTTCACTTTTTGGTTACGCTTTGAGGGCTTTTAATCTTTGAAGGTCTTACCGAACCACTTGAGTTTTACATATGAGAAACGTTTCAAATAGTGTTAAAATTATAATTACACAATATCCTATATTGTTAAATAATTTTATGTTTAGGGTGAATAAAATATCTGCGTAAGTTGCAAAAAAACTTACGGCAGTGCTGTTTCCAAAGATAAGTTCTTTGGTTTTTTTGTTACTTTTTAAACAAAAAGTAATGTGAAAGAAATATTGACTACCAATCGTTAAAATTTTAATTTTATAAGTTGCAACAGGAAATATTTCAAATGTGAATTAACAAATATGCTTTTATTGGATATTTCATAAATAACCATATTTCTAAAATAATTATTATTTACAAAATAATGATTATTTTCTTTCTATATATTACTTGCAAACTGTTTATTTGCTGAAAGAATTTAATTAAACATTAATAATAGAATGCTATTCTATTATGAATATTTATCTAGATTATTTCAGCATATATAAAATTTGCAATTAATATATAAAAAGAAAGTAATTATTATTTTGTAATAATAATTATTTTAGAAATATGGTTATTTATGAAATAACAGTATATTTCTTAATTCACATTTGAAATATTTCTTGTTGCAACTTGTAAAATTAAAATTTTAACTATTGGTAGTCAATATTTCTTTCACATTACTTTTTGTTTAAAAAGTAACAAAAAAACCAAAGAACTTATCTTTGGAAACAGCACTGCCGTAAGTTTTTTTGCAACTTACGCAGATATTTTATTCACCCTAAACATAAAATTATTTAACAATATAGGATATTGTGTAATTATAATTTTAACACTATTTGAAACGTTTCTCCTTGCTGGTTCGCAGCATTGAAGTTCTCTACAGTTGTAGCTAGACCTTCATATGCATAATATAATATACAATACGGGTCCTCGACATAAGTAAAAGGGTTCGCTTATAAAGAGTAATATATGTGTATGAATATACTGTACCTTCGCGGCTGATATCATACTTGTCTTTGGCGAGCCATGACTCACCTTTATCAGCCAAGTCGCACTGCAGTTGACTCTCATAGTCGGCAATGTCAACGATGATTTCGCTTCCATTGTCGAGATCAGTTTCAACGATCGCAGCATGATCGTTGTGATGTAGGCAAAGTAGAAACAGGTAACAAAAGAATACGTGAGACTGGTCTTTACTGGAAAATGAAAGTAAAGAATTGATTACTCTATCCGCTTATGATCTATGTACGTCTTTTATAGATTTGACGATGTTTCAGAGGACGGAGTGGTTAGAACCAATCCACTGTGACGATGTCCATGTTTAATTAGGAACGGAGGTTCCTGAGATAAATTATTATTCAGACACTTCTTGGTAAGAGACACTGCCAATGATATTGTGCAGGTGAAACCGCAGTAGCGCTCTTTTCTTTAAATACAAATCAGACTAATGTCTGAATTGTAAATGATGGATTCAGGACGTTCTTGATGAGCAACCGTCTCAATGATTGGACACAGCTGCGGGTATAGACCGTTTTCACAAAGACGAGTTCACCCGACAGGTGATGGTTTATCACAATCGTCATGTTCGCGATCGTTGACATTTGGTCGAGGAATGTTGCGGGTTGTTCATATTGAGTGCTTGTAAAGAAATACAAAGTGTGGAAAAAGAAGGACGCGTCTTCACTATCTCAGGTACAAACTTAAAACTTTCCGCTATAGGATAAGCATACATAACGCATAATACATAACTTTCGACTCTCGTCATTCACAATGACCCTCTTGGTCGATACCCTTCACCGGTTGCAAGAACAGTCTGAGCATATTGTGACATGAGCATAGGATAGGCAGAGCATAGAAAAAGTGATACTTTTATTGCAAGTATAGCGCAAAACTAATAAAACAAGTTTCACGGGCGTAATATTCAGATATATCAACGTTCACGTATCTTTCTCTCTTCCAGGTTACCTTTTGGCCAATCCGTAACGTTCAGTATATCCGTATAATGTGTAGTGAGCCGATACATAGGTTCTCAGGGCTGTATCGAGTGTTGTTGGGGACCTCACTTAAGGAGATTAAGCTTGCAAAGTCGTTTCCAGCAAAATAACATGGTCTCGTTCGGAATGACTAAAAAGTGAGTGGTCGACATGGCGTCCTTTCCGCGTACAAACTCGTGTGTCGTTCAATAGAGGTCCAAGCGTAATAATAAAAGTGTTTTCGAGCCAGGTTACCTAAGAAAAAAAAGTGTGGTAGCCGACAACGTATCATACACTGCTTTGTACCAAGGTCG